CTTGTGCGGTGCCCTGCCGTGCCACCTGCCTGGCATAGAAGCCTCCCGGCCGCGCCACCTGCCCGGCATAGAAGCCTCCCGGCCACCCGGCGGTGGCACGTTGAGCCAAAATTGGCTCAAGGCGCCACCGGTGTCCATCCTCGACATTTTTTGTGAGGATGTCAGGCACTTTCGTGCGGGCCTGGCGCGGGCCTGGCGCGGGCCTGGTGCGGGCTCCAAGACCGAAGCCGCGGAGCCGGCCTCGCTCCAAGACCGAAGCCGCGGAGCCGGCCTCGCTCAGACCGAAGCCGCGGAGCCGGCCTCGCTTTGCGGAAACTTCCGGCCGGAGTTCGGACTGAATGGTACTCAACTGCGCTCGCGGCAGGAATCGAGCCCCGTGTGGAGTAAGAAGCGCTTAGCTCCTTGGCCGACGCCTTAGTCCAGTGACTCAGGCGTCGGCGAAAACATATGTAAACATGTTTGAAGGACCTGTCACCGGCAATATCCCGGAGGTCCTGGACAACGGAGAGGTGACTGACGGCACGCACGTCACCGCAGGGCAGCTGGCCCTGGCTCTGACGCCCTACGCGCAAGTAACGGACCTGGCGGTGAACACGGCAGCCTCCGGCAAAAACGCGGCTGCCATCCAGTCCCTGGTCGGACTGGGTCACAGCAGTGCTGCGTGGACAGCATGCGCGCTGGCGCCTGGCAATTGCGCCCCCAAGGCGGCGGCCCTTGGCCACCTCGGGACGGACCAGGTTGGACGCGCATGGAGGAACAAGCGTCCCCCGCCTGCGCTGCAGTGCTTGCTGACCACGGGGTCTCTACAACAAGGCTGAACCAGTCGGCCTTCGACGATGCTGGGAGGGAGTGGTGGCCACGAGGCACCACCTCCGGACGGCGTGACCTCTGAAGCTGTCCAACTTCTGCACCACGGCGGCCCGGGCCAAGCTCTCTCTTCTCTTTAGGGTTCCCTAATGGATTCTATTCTACCTGAGAGGCTCCTAGCACTCGTCCGTCCAGGAAATGACCTCGTCCTGCGAAGGATTCGAAGTCTAAAACGCTGCGTGCAGGCGTGTGGCTGCAAAATTATGACCCCTAGATATGCTTGCAATTTGGCTCCAGGTTGCATTTCAAGCGAGCCAACCTTTGCAGGGCTAAGAAAAAAACAAAAAAAGAAAACAAGGGGTCCCAAAAAAAGGGGTCCCCGAAAAAAAGGGAAAAGGGGTTTCCTTTGGCAAAGCTTGACATCGCTTGAAATGCAACCTGGAGCCAAATTGCGGCGCATATCTAGGGGTCATTATTTTGCAGCCACACGCCTGCACGCAGCGTTTCAGACTTCGAATCCTCCCAGGTAGAATAGAATCCATTTGGGAAACCCCCTCTAAAGAGAGAGATTGCCAATATTGATCCATGGTTGACTCTCGTTGCCGCAATATTAATTCAAAATTGCTCCATGGTTGACTCTTGTTGCCGCAATATTGCAACACAAGTGTACGCCAAGCCGCTGAACCCCCACAGTCCCCCGGGTCCTTGCTATATGTGCTATATGTGCTATATGGGTCTTACACGCCAAGCCGCTGAACCCTCACAGTCCCCCGGGTCCTTGCCATATGTGCTATATGTGCTATATGGCTCTTACACGCCAAGCCGCAGAACCCCCACAGTCTCCGGGCTCCTTGCTATACGTGCTATATGTGCTATATGGGTCTTACACGCCAAGCCGCTGAACCACTCCTGGGTCCTTGCTATATGTGCTATATGTGCTATATCTCTCTCTGTTATTTGTGAAATCTAAAACCGCTCACAGCGCATCCTCAGAGGTTGTCATTCAGCAAATGTGGATTCTGCGAAAATTTGGTGGTTTTGCGCGGTGCGGCCACAGCCCTTCTGCTTGCACTTCTGCAAGGGTTGTCAGCTTGCTTCAATATGCAGGCAAAACGGGTCCTAGTCGCATTCTGTGCGTCTCGGAAGTTTAAGTTGCCCGGGCTTAGAGCGCTGTTTCTGGCCTTGTAAGTGCGTTTCTGTTGCGGAGCTTTGTGGCTCGAAAAGCCTGATAAGTGCTTTCTAAGCGCAACGGTGACTCAGAGCAGAAGGTTGGTTGGTTGGAATTCTCTTGGCCTCATTTGCTGCATGTGAGCCTTGGGTTGCGTCTCCGTCAATCCTGCGCCGGCAACAGGATTGCATTGCTGGGGTGCTGGGTTAGGGCAGCCGCAGATAGGCCAGTGCATCCTGGTGCCGCACGGTCACGTTGGACGGTGGCAGCTGCAGCCGCCGCACGCAGCGGCAGTGGCTGCTGCTGCCGTGCGAAGGAACTCCGAACAGTCGTTCAACTTGCTTGCCACCGCCTTGCGCAACCCGCAGGAGTAGGGTGGACTAGCAGGCATTTGGTGCAGAATTCCCTGAGCCTGCTGATTGGGGCTTGATACCTGGAAGCCACTTGGCAGAGCGACAATGCTGAGGCCAGGCGCCGCCGGGCAAGGTAGTACTCTAGCTTGAAGAAGGGCGAGTGCAGCACCGACACGTCGCCCAGCAGCAGGTCCAGGTGTGGAGCCAGCCACGACTTACTGCCCATACACTTCAGCTGCATGCCGGCCTCGGCAAGACCGTGCCTGGCAGCAAAAAGAACGCCACCCAACTCGCCGTCCGGGCAGGAATTGAGCCGCGCGGAGTAAGAAGCGCTTAGCTCCTTGGCCGACGCCTTAGCCACTGGACTAAGGCGTCGGCGAAAACATATGTAAACATGTTTGAAGGACCTGTCACGGGCAACATCCCGGAGGTCCTGGACAACGGAGAGGTAACTGACGGCACGCACGTCACCGCAGGGCAGCTGGCCCTCGCTCTGACGCCCTACGCGCAAGTAACAGACCTGGCGGTGAACACGGCAGCCTCCGGCAACAACGCAGCGGCCATCCAGTCCCTGACGACCGGGTCACCGCAGAGCTGGCCTCAAAGCTGGACAGCAGCGCACTGGCGCCGGCAATCGCGCCTCTGACCACGGCAGCAGCCCTGGCCACCACAGACGGGCAGGTGGCCGCGTACGGAAGCAGCATCGCCGCGCTGCAGAGCTCGCTGACCACTGGTCTCTCCAACAAGGCAGACCAGTCGGCCTTCGACGTGCTGGAGGGCGTGGTGGCCACGAAGAGCACCCCGGACGGCGTGGATCTGAAGCTGTCCAACTACAGCACCACGGCGGCCATGAACGGCTCCATCGCCTCGGCCAACAACGGGACGCTGGCCGCGGTGGCGGCCAACTACGGCCTCAAGACGGTGGTGGACCAGCACTCCCTCGACATCGCAGCAAGGATCACGCCGCTGGAGGTCGACACCAAGGTGGCCAACGCTCTCCTGGGCGTCGTGTCCGCCGCAGCGCTGGCCTCCGAGCTCGCCAGCCGAGACGCCTCCATCTCGGGCCTGCAGGCCTCCAAGGCGGACGCCAGCGCCCTGACTGCGTACGCCCTGCAGTCGGCCGTCGACACGTCCTCGGAGGTGGACTCGAAGATCGCAGCAGCCCTCCTGGACACAGTCACCACGGCAGCCCTCGACGCCGCCCTCGTCGGCAAGGCGGACGCAAGCGCGCTGGCCGCCCGAGGGTTGGACACACCACTGGAGGTAGACACCAAGATAGCAAATGCCCTGCTGGGTCTCGCCAAGGCCGACTACACGACGCTGCTGGCCTCGTACGCCACAAACGCCGCGCTCTCCGCCAGCGAGACCGCGCTCCAGAGCGCCCTCGTCGCAATCCTCGCGGACCTGGCCGCCTTGCAGCTTCCCGGAGGCCTAGTGCGGCGGCTGCGGGAGGACGGCACCTACCAGCTGACGAACCTAGGGAGGCGGTTCTTCAAGAACAAGTACTCGCAGCACGTAGCACACATCTGAGCAGTCATCAGGGGGATGCGGCGGGCCGACAAAAACGCGGGCCGGGGCCAGCGGCAGCCCGACAGGCTGTCGGAGCAGCAAATACTGCAAAACGTCAAGCAGGAGACGCTGCGGTTGGTGGTCGCGGGGGACCGCGCCGCCGGCAGGGCGCCCATCATGGAACTCACCAACGAAAACTACTTCTACGACCCGGAGCGGGAGTGGGTGGTGTCCTTGGAGACCGCAATACCGGGACAGCCGCGCACACGTAGAAACAGGCTGCGAGGCCTGCGCCGCGTGTCGTACCAGCTAACAGCATCCTGGAATGCATTCGAGGACTCTGGGGACCAACAACAGCGCGGCCTCCGACAGCGGCCCGGAGCTGCGGCTGCTGGGCAACCAGAGCGCGCGGGTCTTCCTGGAGCGGGACGGCGTGGCGCACTAGTGCGAGCTCATCATGATCAACGACGAGGCGCTGGTCCAGACAAGAGCCTCTCGACGCAGCTGTCCCTGACCACGAACCAGAGGAACCCCGGCTGCCTGGTGATCGCCGAAGTGGTCTGCAACACGAGCTACCAACTTGTCGGACAGCCGGGTGAAGACGGAGATGGCCGAGGCCGACTTGGGGAAGCTCCAGCAGTTCGACTCCGTGGAGGCCAAGCAGTACAAGCGCCCCGACATGAACGGGGACCTGAGGCTGGGCTTCGCCTCGGGAGCGGCACCGAGATCACCCTCGACCACTCGCACCTCACCAGCGTGCTCTGGGGGGTGCGCAAGGGCTTCCAGGCCCGGCTGGACGAGGTGGAAGCCTGGCAGGCCCAGCAAGGGCCGATAAGAAACATGGCTGACGCCCGCAGACGAACCATCAAGGCTGTCTACGAGGATCCCCGCACCGGCTTTGGCTCTTCAGAGAGGAAGTGAAGGCGTTTCTGGACGGCCTCCGGGTAACCAGACCGGCGTGGTTCCAAAGAACCGCATCGAAAATGGCAAGAAAGCAAATGATCACGTCGAAGATCAACCTGGAGCGCTGCGTCTACTGCCCAGGTCCATCGATTAAAAACGCCTTGGGGTCAGAGTCGGCGGTCGCAAAAAGGCCAGACTTGCTGTAGTCTTAGGTTTCTCCCTGCCCAACCATAAACAAAGAACACTGATCCGAACACAGCCGCCCCATGCTAATCAACACATTTCGCACTATCTTCAGGATGTCAGGCTTCTGACAGGCTGTCTAGCGTCTTCGGAATTTGCACGGCCTGTACATACACATTCTGGAACACTCTGTCTGGCCCTTGCGCCAAGGCCATTAAGCGGTTAAACTCTGCACTTTTCTTCGGGACGAATTTGCTCGGAGCTCCCGGAACCAAAAAAGTGAGGGTGAAACTGTGTTGTCCCTTGCAATCTTCGAAAATGTCGCGCAACCTCTTCGCAAACCCTTCTGCGATGCTGTGCTTCGGAGAGAGTGTCACAGAGATGCCGTGGTTGAAGTCGAGCAGGTAGTCGATGCCTGGGTACCGTTCTGGGCTGTGCACAAGGCGTTTCTCCGTGCCTCTGCGCTTTACGGCTTGGAGCCATCTGCTGTTGAAAATGTCGTTGAAATCACAATGCAGCAATTTCAAAGCAGGTACTACCAGATCTTTGCCCTTCTTGTGCTCCCACTTGCCTTCATACGTTATCATCCAGGGCTCAAGCCGCTTGTCACACCATGATGTGGTCAGCCAAACCCCAACAAAATCTTCCAGCCAATATCTTGATTTTGGGTCACTTTCGTCCTTCCACAAATTCACAAGCTCGGCATAGTGCTCCTGTGCAAGAAGCTCTCTAGCTTTCGGGGAGCATACAGCGACAGTGCAAGAGATCCCATTTTCGGTACGGAATGTGAAGAGCCTGCTTGGCAGCTTCGTCCCAATGCTGTCCAAATCTCCACCAAAGGCGCGTCGCACTGTTGCGAAGTCCTTCGCGTCGGTCTTGTGCTGCTTCACGGCATCCTCATAAGGGCCTTCTTTGGCCAAAAGGGTGCGAAGGGTGCCTCCAACCTGCTCGAATCTATCAAGCAAAGTGCTCTCACTCACTTTCACATCCTCGAAACACGGATAGGCCACCTTCAGCTCCCCCTTTTGCCATGCCTCCACATAGACACATTGTCCACCATCTTTGATGAAGTTGGAGTAGTGTTCCCTGTCAGGGCTGCAGGCCTTCACCGTCTTCGCAGGCAGCTTATACGTGGGGTGCTTGTCCGAGGCGTCCACGAGGTACCAGTTGTTGCTGTTCTGCAGGTGCTTGCATCCGCTCGGCTTCCAGTCATCCAGCAGCAGGCTCTGCGCCTTCCAGTGGCCGTCCTTGTCCTTGGTGAAGACGAAAACAAAGCCGCCCTCCCGCGCCTCGAAGACGATGGCCTCGGGCTCCTTCATCCAGTCCGGGCAGCCCTGGCCCGACACCAGGTGCCACAGGCCCAGCGCCAGGGACCTGCTCTTGCCGATGCCGGGGGTGCCCAGCATGGCCACGCGCCTCGTGCCGTCCTTCATCAGCTCGAAGGTGGCCTGCCAGGCCTGGCGCGTCGTGTTCCGCGTCAGCAGCTTCCTCCCGCTCAGGTCGTAGGGCTCTGCGGGCAGGCACGTCTTGAGGTCGAAGACCTGCACGCCTCAGTGTGGCTTCAGCAAGAAAAGCAAAACTGGCATCCCGCCGTCCTGCCGGCCTTCGCCGAGGTCCTTGGGCTTGGCGTTGACCAGCTCCTGGATGAACGCCGTGGCATCTGGGTCATCCTGCAGCCGCGATCACACACGGGACGCGAGCCATGACACAAGCCGTCCTTGATCCCGCTTGCCTGCGCGGCATACGACGGACAAGACAGGAAAAGATGACGCATGAGCTGTTCGAGAATCGAGCATCAACGACTGGAACAAAAAGTAAAACAGCACAATCCAGCATGGACACAAAGCTGGGGATGCATGAGCTCAACCATCCATTCGTGGGGCTCCACAGTGAGTCGCATCACGTGCGCCAACAATGCAGCCAGCTGAAGCCCAAAAAAATGCGCTGTGCTGTGCCCAAACGCGATCTTGGGATTTCATGGTTCTGTGGATGCGATCACAGCAAAAATACACTGTGCACACTTTAGCAATCTCCTCCATGCTCGTGCTGTCGGAACAAAATTTCACCTTCGAATTGCATTGTGTCTGCAGCAGCAACGACCATGGCAGAAGGGTAGGTCTTGCTCTTCAAAAGGCAGGCGACTGGAACAGCAGGCTCTTCAATATTTGCGGGGTTCCCCCTCGACTGTTTGATAGTTTTGCGCTCCACTAACCACTCACACCAAATCAGGCAGATATGAACAGGTACGGAGAAAATTGAACAACAGAAAAGGATGGAATGGCAGCAAAACGGGCAAAACATCGAGCAAGAACACTGCGAGTGAATGCAAAGCCGGGAATGGTTGAGCTCACTGCATCAAAGAGAACATTCATAGAATGCACTTGTAGCAGCAAGGGCCCCAATGGGTGCAAAGACATCAGAGTTTGCCCTCCCTCTCCCCGGCAGACGGGCAGGTCTTGCTCTTTCAAAAGCAGGCTGGGGGCAAGCGCAAAATCACTCACAACGATCAACGGCACGTCTCAATCAATGTCGACCGGCAGGAATGACCGACCTCCAACAAGGAAAGGCAACCATCCGTTCATGGGGGCTCCATACCGAGCCTGCCAACGACACGAACCGCCGCAATCTGCAAAAATGCTATCTTGGGATTTCCTGGTTCTCTGGATGCGATCAGGGCAGCCCCACCAAAACCATGTGCGGGCCGCGCGGGGAATTTCAGAACCGCACGCAACGATCAGAGTCCCAGAACGCAGCCGGCCGGCGGAAGCGACCGACTCCGCCCGCCTCGGACTCCTTCGTCCGGCCGCTTGCCTTCGCCGCCTGCACCTCCTTCTTCGCCCTCTCCACCTTCCTCTCCGCCTTCTCCACCTCCTCCTTGGCCTCCTTGACCTCCTCCTTGGCCTCCTTGACCTCCTCCTTGGCCTCCTTGACCTCCTCCTTGGCCTCCTTGACCTCCTCCTTGGCCTCCTTGACCTCCTCCTTGGTGCCTGATTCCTCCGCCTTCTCCAATCTGGCGGCGGCTTTAACCAGACTCTTCATCACCATCTCCACCTGCTGCTGGGCAGTCTCAACCTGCCGCTGGGCGCTCGCTTGCTGCTGTCGCGCCAGGAGCAGGTCCTGCCCAGCAAGACTCACACGCCGAGCAGCAGTGCGCTCGGACGGACGGCCTCTTCCAAGGCCTTTAGGGCTGCCTTGGCCTGAAAAGCAACCACGACAAACATGCAGCACAGAGAATGTCACGAAAGCGCTTGTGAATCTGACCTGTTGGTAAAACAAGCAAACACTCCTGCCTCTGCCACAGACTTCTTTAGCTGCTGCTTTAACTCAGGCTTAGTCGCCAAATCATTCCACTTCCCTGGATCTGTCAGCTGCACTTTTCCTGAGCTCAAAATTTCACCACGCCTGCTGCAACCAATGTGCTGCTAAAGCGGCGCATGACCACTTGCATGTCTTTCTTCGTCGCCGATGTGTTCAGCACCCGTTCAGCTTCTGAAATCACCTGAGCGAGAAAAGGCTGGGACGTCGCTTTCTCTGAAGGCCCGCCGCCTCCTCGAGATCGAGCCGGTCCTGACAGCCAACAAGCCCAGCGTTCAAGCCTGATGCACGTGTCCCCGGCCTCGGCACTGTTGTCCTGGCGGCAACCGGCAAAAGATGCGAACAGGCTTCGGGTCGGAGGAGTCCTCTTGCGCAGCCCCGGCGCGCCGAGCGACTCCGGCATGCAACGGGTGCCGTTTTGCCTGAAAGAGCCAAAGTGCAATCTGCTTGCGCCCGCGGGCAACTCTGAGAACTGGGCCAACATGCTGTCCTGGCACTCAGCACGAAACAAGAACATCCAAAGGAGGGACTTCATGCTCCTTCAGCCCAGGAACTCCTCGAGCAAAGTCCTGGGCGGCGGCGACAAGGGACTCCTGAAACCCGAAAACCTTCGAAAAAATGTGTCCCAAGACCCAGGCCGTGCTCGGCTGCACGAGCAGCGCCAATGCAATCCCGAGAAGGCAGAGGCACATACCTGGCCGCTGCCTACCGCGGGCACGGTAGCGTCACAAGCTTGCCAGCCTCGGCTTTTGGTCCTGGTCCGCATCATCGCCATGGCTATTCGAAAAGCGCTTGAGCGACCCATCGGGCAACCATTGCGAGCTGTTGTTGTGTCAGTGTTGATGAGTACCCTCGAGCCAAGTTTCCAGAGCAAACACAAGATTGACTGGCTTCTTTGGCAACACCAACGCACGGGTTTGGATGCTCCTCCTCCTTTTCACTCGCGGCCTGAAGGTCGGTCGGGCCAAGCCTTGCAAGGCTTCACAGCGTCCATCCGTCAGACTGGCTGACCCACATCCTGCCGCTGCATCAAAGTCCAAGCGAGATACCAAACTGGCCTGCCTGCAAAACAAGCAGCCGAAATCGGCACCGGGCCGCCAGGGCCTGAAGGGCGGGGGTTTCTGGGGTCCCTGGTCCCTGGGATCACTGGGGCCTCTGGGGTCCCTGGGTCCCTAGGGTCCCTACCCTCCTAAGGTCCCTAGGGTCCCTAGAGTTCCTGGGGTCCCTGCACACGTGTGCATCAGACGTCTCGCCAAGGCCCCAGAGTGCGCTCGTCCCTGTCAACGCACGGCGGGTTCAGGGACCTTGGGGACCTTAGGGACCTTAGGGAATTTAGGGACCTTAGAGACCTTAGGGACCCTAGCAACCCTGCAAACCCTACCCTAGGGACCCTAGGGACTCCGAGGACTTCAGGGACCCAGCGACCCAGGGACTTCAAGAGATCCTTGGTGGCCCCAAGGATTTTGGGGCTTGAAGGGATCTTGGCAAGAACTTCACGCCGGGTACCACTCAGCCTGGGCATTCTCCAGCATCATAGGGTCATGCAAAAACACAAAATGCCGAAGCCAAGACACACACACACACACACACACACATTGCAAATGGGCCACAACACCACAACATCATCTCCCAACTACAAACACGGATGTAGAAAACACCATGTAGAGACATACCAACATAAAGGCACAAAGACATAAAGATATAAAGATATAAAGAGAAAGATATAAAGATACAAAGATATAAAGATATGAATTTGTAGAAATACAAAGATATAAATATATGAAATTCATAAAGAGATACAAATACGTAGAGATATGAAGATATAAATGTATGAAAATAGATAGATATGAGTACACGAAGATAAATAGATGTATGGAAAGTTGCTCGAATGGAAAAACAACAGAAGCTTTGCCCTTCCGCGCGTCTTTGTGTCCCCTTGCGTGGCAAGCTGCAACCAACCGAAGCTTGAGAGATGACTTCACACTTCACAGGATCTCTTGCCCCCAAGACCCAGGGTTGCTGGGGTCCCTAAGGTCCCTGGGGTCCCTAAGGTCCCTTAGGGTCCCTAAGGTCCCTAGGGTCGGTAAGGTTTCTGGGGTCCCTAAAATCCCTGAAAACGCCGTGTGTTGACAAGGATGGATGCACTTTGGGACCCTGGCCAGACGTCTTGATGGAAGGACGTTGTTTCATGGCACCTGCAGCGGACGCACGCGTGCCCAGGGACCCAGGGACCCCAGGGACCCCAGGGACCCCAGGGACCCCAGGGACCCCAGGGACCCCAGAAATTCCAGGGACCTTCGGGACGGACCGTCAGGGCCTCACTGGGTCAAAGATCAAAGGGGCTGACAGATTGGTGACAAAGATCAAATGACAATAACCTGCACGGGACCTCTTGGCCATGACAATGGAACGCGGCGAGGGCCCGGGCGGAACGTGGAGCTCGAGGCGCAAGCTCAAAAGTTCGGAGTGCCTGAGCGCCAGGAAAAAAAAGCGATTTTGAGGAAACCACACTGCCTGACTTACAAAAAACCTGACAGTACGACTTGACGGGGTTGGGGCAATCGCTCTCAAGGTCAAGGGTTCACCAGGTTGGAGAGACAATACAAAATGCGGGCCTGGCTCAACGAGGTCACGATTTCCAAAGATACACGGGCCTGACGGCGCGGCTTGACGGGGTTGGGAAAAGCACACAAAAAAGCAACGCGAGTCGCGCAAATCCTGGCACGGGACGGGGGGGGTGTCCGGGCCTCGCTAGGCCAAAGATCAGGGGGCCTGACAGATTGGCGAGTTGGGACCCAAACCTCAAAGATCAGTTGGCATTGATGGCCATGACAACGGAAGCAGCGAAGGCCCGGGCAGTATGCCTCGATGTCAAAACAAAGCCTGGCACGGGGAAGCGCGAAAACACGACCTTCAAAATCCAGGACCAAACCTGAAACACTGCTCAAAGGCCGAGTTGACACCAATCCGCACAGGTGCCCAGCCAAAGAGTCCCCAGTAGCACGAATTGGATCCACCTGCAAGCGGCCAACAAAAAGTGACAAAAAGGCAACTCCAAAGCGCGGCGCTGCGAGAAGATCTGCACGTCGAAGTCTGGGCACAGGGCACGTGAGGTCAAGAAAAACTGTGAGTCTGAAACCACGCCTTTGCACCCGCGAGCGGTTCCCTGCCGCCCGGACCCCAGAACGTCCCCGAATCTCGCCTTCACAAGGCTCACGTGCTTGGGGAAGCTCTTTCCAAACACGACCGACAACGTGAAAATCGTGAGCCGGCAACCTGTCATGCAAAATCACGCTCAAAAACCACGCAAAACTGAATTTACGGAAAAACAAACAAAAAGGTGTTTTTTCCGGAAATGGCGGCCCTCGAGCCGCGTGAGCCGAGGGCGACGCTAGTGGCGATGGTAGTCATCTTGATTTTGCTTGCCGGTCCTTTTCTTATAAGCGAGTATAAAAAAAATGGTCCGACCAAAGCGTCGGCCCTGGGCGACGTGTCGGGCTGTTCTTCGGTTCCGGAAAGCTAGAGTACTACCTTGCCCGGCGGCGCCCGGGCCTGGAGGTGCGTGGCGCGGACACGTTCGAGCCCGTCGTGAACCTGCACCGCTGCTACTTGAGGCGAGACCCGGTCTTCCTGCCCTCCCTGGCGCGCCTGGCGGGGCGCGACGTGGACAGGCACTTCTACTTCAGGCGCCTCCTGCCGGGCGCGCTGAAAGGCCCTGGCGCCGGGCGGCCTGCGCGTACGCCCTGCTGCGCAACAGCTTCTCAGGAAAGTGGGGCTCCTTCGCACGGCAGCAGCAGCCACTGCCCCCGAGCTGCGTGCGGCGGCTGCAGCTGCCACCGTCCAACGTGACCGTGCGGCACCAGCACCCCAGCAATGCATTTACGCGGGCCCTCCCTATATTTTCCCCGGTCGTGTCATGAACTACTACGGCACGAGGGGGCAGGGCCACAACCTGTCCTACCACTCAGAGCTCCAAGACGCGCTCTTTGCAAGCAGCCTGCCCTTCGTCGTGAGCGTCAACGACGTGCCGGAGGCCGGGAGCTCTACAGCGGGGCCGACTCCATCACAAGCCTGAGGTCGGGCAAGAACAGTTCCAAGCCCGAGCTGCTCGTGCTGCATCGGGGCAATCCTGTTGCAGGCGCAGGAGACGCAACCCAAGGCTCACATGCAGCAAATGAGGCCAAAGACCCAACCTTCTGCTCTGAGTCACCTTAGAAAGCACTTATCAGGCTTTTCGAGCCACAAAGCTCCGCAACAGAAACGCACTTACAAGGCCAGAAACAGCGCTGAAAGCCCGGACCCGTTTTGCCTGCATATTGAAGCAAGCTGAAAACCCTTGCAGAAGTGCAAGCAGAAGGGCTGTGGCCGCACCGCGCAAAACCACCAAATTCTCGCAGAATCCACATTTGCTGAATGATAAGCTCTGAGGATGCGCTGTGAGCGGTTTTAGATTTCACAAATAACAGAGAGAGCGCTGGCCGCGGTACTCCTGCCCCAGCGCCTCGCGCCACCTCCGCAGCACCTCGTGCTCCTCCGGCAGCTCTCGGATCCTGGTGCCTCAGCTTCAGCCCGCAGTACTGCGCCGGGCTGCTGATGGCCACCTTGGGGCTCTCGCCGACGGCCATGAGCTGGCGCCGCGCCTCGCAGGTCCTCGCACCAGAACAGCCCCGGCTGCACGTCCGCGGCGATGGGCGGCAGGGTCTGCCTTGCCTCGCCCCGGTAGAGCACGCGCGCCGCCTGCCTCTCCAGCACCCGCTTCACGGCCCTGTACATGTAGCAGTGCCTGTCGAAGGCCAAGAAGCACACGGTGCGGTGCTCCTTCAGCGCCGGGTCGTAGCTGTCCACAAGGTCGCCCTGCGAGCTCAGCACGCGCATCGGCGCGTTGCGCCACACGCAGAACTCTCGCACCTCCTTGGCGGAGATGCCGAGGCGCCTCCGGCGCAGCATGGCGTCAAAGTCGGCGCACACCTCCTCCACGCTCAGCTGCAGCAGCTCGGCCAGCTGCCGGGGCACGCAGAGCGGCTTGTCCTCAAAGGCGCTCGGGAGAGCGCGCAGCCCACCAGCCTGGAGAGAGCCGCGTGGCGCCCGGCGTCATGGAGTACGCCCGGAGCCCCAAGCTGCCCTCTTCTTTGAGGCGCAGGCGTGCAATAGAGACGCTCTGTACGTTGGAGTGGACGTGGTGCGCTGCAGGCGCAACGGGCTGGCCAACGCCCCCTTCCCCTGCCTGGCTGAAGAAACCAGGAGCTGCTGCGGGCCACCCGGCGCGCTGGGCCAGCCCGGCCCAGTCCGCTGGCAGCTGCCGGAAGTCTCCCACAGGCCCAGGTTCTGCGCGGAGCAAGCTCTCGCAGCCACAATGGTCTGGGCCAGGTGCGTCTTTCCGGTGCCCAGGGAGTTGCCCGCCAGGCAGTGGCCCACGGGGTCGTCCACCCGTTCCACCTCCGTTGTTTGGGGCGCTCCGCCCTCTCTCTTTAGAGGGGGTTTCCCAAATGGATTCTATTCTACCTGAGAGGCTCCTGGCACTCGTCCGTCCAGCATTTGGCCTCGTCCTGCGAAGGATTCGAAGTCTAAAACGCTGCGCGCAGGCGTGTGGCTGCAAAATAATGACCCCTAGATATGCGGTTTGGCAAAATGCCCAGCAGCTGCCTTTGTTTCTGCAAGGCGAGCGCCCTCAAAGGAAACCCTGGCTGGCTTTTTTGGTTGGCTTCTGGCTGGCTTGGCTTGGCTTCTGGTTGGCTTTCTGGCTGGCTTTCTGGCTGGTTTGGCTTGGCTTCTGGCTGGCTTTCTGGCTGGTTTGGCTTAGCTTCTGGCTGGCTTTCTGGCTGGTTTCGCTTGGCTCCTGGCTGGCTTTCTGGCTGGTTTGGGCTTGGCTCCTGGCTGGTTTGGCTTTGGCTTCTGGCTTTCTGGCTGGTTTGGTTTGGCTCCTGGCTGGCTTTCTGGCTGGTTTGGTTTGGCTCCTGGCTGGCTTTCTGGCTGGTTTGGTTTGGCTCCTGGCTGGCTTTCTGGCTGGTTTGGCTTGGCTCTGGCTTTTTTTTTTTCCCTGTTTTTTTTAGCTCGCCTTGCAGAAACGCAGCTGCTGGGCATTTTGCAAGCATATCTAGGGGTCATTATTTTGCAGCCACACGCCTGCACGCAGCGTTTTAGACTTCGAATCCTTCGCAGGACGAGGTCAAATGCTGGACGGACGAGTGCCAGGAGCCTCTCAGGTAGAATAGAATCCATTTGGGAAACCCCCTCTAAAGAAAGAGGAACGGCTCCATCAACGCTGGCCACGTTTGCCGCCAACTACGGCCTCAAGACGGTGGTGGACCAGCACTCCTAGACATAGCGGCGAGGATCACGCCGCTGGAGGTAGACACCAAGGTGGCCAACGCTCTCCTGGGGGCCGCGGCGCTGGCCTCCGAGCTGCGAGCCGAGACGCCTCCATCTCGTGCCTGCAGGGCCTCCATTGCGCCCTGCTCTCAGAGGGGCACTTATAGCGGCGCTTGGGCTAGTCACCACGGCAGCTCTCTCTTTAGAGGGCGTTTCCCAAATGGATTCTATTCTACCTGGGAGGCTCCTAGCACTCGTCCGTCCAGCATTTGACCTCGTCCTGCGAAGGATTCGAAGTCTAAAACGCTGGTGCAGGCGTGTTGGCTGCAAAATTATGACACTAGATTAGATATGCTTTGCAATTTTTGGCTTCCAGGTTGCATTTTCAGAGAGCCAACTTTGCTAGGGCTAGAAAAACAAAAAAAACCCCCAAACCCAATGAAAAAAAAAAAACAGAACATGGGGGTCCCAAAAAAAGGGTCCCCGAAAAAAAGGGAAAAGGGGTTTCCTTTGGCAAAGCTTGACATCGCTTGAAATGCAACCTGGAGCCAAATTGCAGCGCATATCTAGGGGTCTCTATTTTGCAGCCACACGCCTGCACGCAGCGTTTTAGACTTTGAATCCTTCGCAGGACGAGGTCAAATGCTGGACGGACGAGTGCTAGGAGCCTCTCAGGTAGAATATAAACCATTTGGGAAACCCCCTCTAAAGAGAGAGATACCGGGAATGCAGGGATTCCCTGCATTGAACTCCCCCCACGATTTGATTCAGAGTACGCCAAGCCGCTGAACCCCCACAGTCCCCGGGCTCCTTGCTATATGTGCTATATGTGCTATATGGCTCTTACACGCCAAGCCGCGGAACCTCCACTCTCCCCCGGGTCCTTGCTATGTGCTATATGTGCTATATGGGTCTTACACGCCAAGCCGCTGAACCCCCACTCTCCCCCAGCTCCTTGCTATATGTACTATATGTGCTATATTATTCTGTACGCGCTTTGAAATATACTATATGTGCTACACAATGCATGTTTGGTACATGTTGGAGATGCTATGTGTATAGTACACAGGCTTCTTTATCCTCTGGGAGACCCTAAGACCCATCACCAACAAAGTTGTCACTACGCCTCAAACCAGAAAAGCGGCACACCAGCATTATACAAAAGCTCGAGCCAAAGTGAAAAGCGTGACATGACGACAAAGTCATGAAACACAACGTCCAGCAACGTGCACACAAAAAGAGACGCAACTGCAAAGTATATCATTCCACTCAGGAAATCATGATATACAAACAGTCACTAGAGAAATATATAAATATATATATCCATCGCATTCTCATTAAAATGTTTCACAGCCAGAAATGGGGAAGTCAGGTCTCCTTCGAGACGTGCCGCGCACGGCGAAGGGATGCACCAGCTTTCTGGTGTCCCGTCAAGGCTCTTCTTGATCGGTTCCCCTTCGGGAAGATCAAGCCTTTTTTTTCTGTTTTTTTTGTTTGTTTTTTTTTTTTTTCATTTTTTTGCTTTTTTTTTTGTTTATTTTGTTTTTCAATACACCCGCTTGACTTTCACCTTCGGAAGTTTCTGTTTGAATTCCCTCCTGAAGTACCAACTGTTTGGTACGAAGTGAGCAGCGCAGCCGCTTGGCAAGACTGCTGCAAAAAGAGGGCGGGCGGGTGGGAAAAAATTCTCAAACGGCCATTGCAGAAACGAGGAGCTCCCTCCCACCCACCCCTTGGGTCTGTGCAATGGCGGTGGTGTGCAACGAAGTGTTGTTTATCCACAAAAACAACACATCAAAGCAAGGCCATTTGTGAACAACTCAAAAAGTTCGCTGATGGGATTGTTAGTGCCCCAGCACAAACACCAGGGGTCCCCCTTGTGGATAAGGAATTTTCACTGAAGTGAGAATCATCT